GGGCACCTGGGTGGCTCAGTCGTTAAGCGTCTGCCTTTGGCTCAGGTCATGGTCCCAGGGTCCTGGGATCGAGCCCCGCATCGGGCTCCCTGCTCTGCAGAAGCCTGCTTCTCCCTCTCCCACTCCCCCTGCTTGCGTTCCCTCTCTCGCTGTGTCTCTGTCAAATAAATAAAATCTTAAAACACAAAAAAACAAAAAAACGCCTCTTTAAGTGAGGGCATTTATCCGGACTGGGGCGGCTGCAGACAGCACCAGGGAATAACTCCAGGCCTAGCCCCAGCCCCTCCCCCACACGAGCCCACCTGCAGAGACGGGCTCTTCAGCTTCTCCCTGGCCCTTCCAGTGCCTCTCTGGCTTAAGAGACCTTTTTATGGTGCATAAAACCCAAGCGCCCCGACAGAGCCAGGGCCTGAAATCCTGTTAGTCTCCTAGAAAGGCCACTCTCGTAAGCTGGGTCCCAGAGATAGATTGTGGGGTTGAGGAGGGGCGGGGGAGTCTCCGTCTGGTTTTGACCCTAGTGAGCAAGGTTAGATTCCATTATCTCTATGGTCCCGGCCAATCTGAAGGTTCTAGCTTCTGCAGAGAGGTCTCTCCCTAAACGGACTGGACCAGGAGAGTTCTTGACCCCTCCTGATGTTAGAATCGCCTGGAGAAGGCTTCACACAGAACAGCCCTGCTCACCAACCAAACCACAACCTCTGAGCAGCAGGCCTGGGCACAAGTGTGCAAGCTGGGTAGAAAACTTGGACTTGACACTTGGGATGGTCAGAGTCAGGGACATTTTTTTTTTAATTTTTAAAAGATCTTATGTATTTATTGCGGGGGGGCACAAGGGGAGGGAGAGGGACAGGTTGACTCCATGCAGAGCACACAGCCAGATGTGGGGCTCCATCTTATGACCCTGAGATCACGACCTGAGCCCAAACCAAGAGTCCCATGCAACCAAGAGTCAGAAGCTCAACGGACTGAGCCACCCAGGCACCCCCCAAAGAGTCAGGGACACTTTCAAGAGCACACACGTGCTTCTGCCATATCTCTGGCCTTCATGGTAGAGATTGGCAAGTGTTCATTTACTCTTTACTCTGAAGAGCGGTGCTCCTCCCACAGGCTTGTTCAGAAGCACTGACAGGATGGCCTGATACCATTTTTACTTATTTAGTAGTTATAGTAACAGGGAAAGACCCATAAATAACATACATGGCAGTTATGTAACAGAAACAGAGACCAGGCATGATCCAATTTAAAAAAAAAATTTATTAAAATGTCTCTTTGCAACTAACAGGGTCATCTGAGCCTCTTTGTTCGCCACATCGGCATTCTAACTGGGTTTTAACGAACTGCCTACAGAAAATCCCAGCCTTAGATTTCTACCCAAGTAGAACTACACTCCGCAATAAGGGAGGGGGACGGGAGAGCGAGGGAGGATAGGTGTTTTCTTGCAGACTCTCTCCCAGACACAGAACTTGTAGGTGCTGTCACTAGGGTGCTGTCCTTTGTCCCCCGCCCCAGGCCCCTCCAGAGGGTCAGAACCAATGCTCGTTACAGGGTTCTTGTCTCACGGGGTCGGAGAATGAATCTCACGGACACAAAAGGGTGAAGCAAAATTTATTCAGTGAAGGTGGAAACAAAGGAAAGAAAAAGCTCTCTCAAGTGAGAGGTCCCGAATGGGTTGCCACTGAGGGCTTTTATGGTCGGTCTTTTATAGAAAATTGATCAGGGAACGTCGATCTTCTTGACGTCACCACTGAGAGCACCATGATTACTTCTCCTTTGAACATCTCACCTCTGAGGTTTAAGACAAACGGGGTGCTCTGGTTATGTTCCCTCATCTCTGGTTTCCTTACGCCTCAGCATTCTGGGGATTTTTGGTGAGCCTGATCAGGTAGCCCCCTGCCCGTCTCTCCCTTCCTCGTCCCGCCTCTAACTCTCATCCTAACTTCCAGGGTTTGCAACCGCAACCCTGCACTGGACTCCCCCCATCACTGACCGACGTGGCTGACTCTGACCTCTGTCTGACCTTGCTCCTCACCTTGTAATGAAACTCTCACGTGTGTGTACCCAGACTGGGCTCGATTCTGCTCACCTTTTCCCACTTTCCTGCCCGCCTTTTCCCACTCCTGATTCTGGATCTACTTGGTCTTTCGTTCTCTATTATCATTAATGGAGTGAGCGCCTACTGTGTACCAGAAACCTACTGTGGACCAGGCACTGTAATGGGTGTTTTGTAAACATTATTCCTACCAACCACAACCCTACAAAACAGATATTGTTTCCACCTCACAGCTGGAGAAAGATTACTACTCAAGGTCCGGTCATGGTAGGTGCAGGGTGGATCCAGGCCAGACACAAGTGGTGACTGAACCCCACCATCAGCAGAAGTCCCTTTTGAGGGGGTGTGGTGAGGATCAACACCACAAGGCGTATGATGTTTGGGTTTAACATGAAAATATTTGCATCTGAAAGTGTGAACAGTGTCTTCCTGAGATCTTTGAAGAGCAGAGCAGACATCTCTAAGAAGAAGCCCTATTCCCTTAGTTAACTCTAATAGCTGAAAACAAACTTTCCAAAACCTGTAGCAAGAAAACCCACAAGAAAGTTATAAAAATATTTTATTTAAACATTAAGGAAGAAATTATACATACTTAAAAATGATTAAAAGTACCTACGTTAAACAAATGCTAGAAACCCAGGAATTTACACATGATGAAATCTAAAGTGATAGGAACACATAAAATGCTTCCAATTGGCCCTCTCACCTAACAAGACTATTATAAAAATGAGAAATATAGTAATTGCTGAAGCTGGGTTAAAGGCACAGGACACGATCATTCCCTTATATACACCCAGTGATCGTATACAACCAAAGAATGAGCAACTTATCTGAATTTTGGGAGGACATCATGTACCTGTAATGAAACGCTGCTTCAATGTTTACACCAATACTTTCGCCAATGATTCAAACAGATTAACACTGCAAACCAATTACTTCTATTTTGAATTTGAAAAATTCAATAATTATTGAGTTTAAGAACAGGCAAATGAGCTCGAATTTATTCTGATTTCAACCAGACTGCAAAGTTACAATTTTTCCCAGGAAACCACTCACTTCCTAGATGCAAAAACGCACTGTAGCATTTCCATTACGTCTGCGATGCTTTCAGCCGGCTGGAGGTTGAAGCGTTCACACTGATGCACTCTAAAACCTGAAAGGAAACGAGCATTGATATCCGATGTGAGGCATTCTATCTTCAGCTTCTGGATCTGCTGTTAGAAGCAAAGCTTAGTCCACATGTCTATAACATCTCTGGCTCTCCGTTACCAAATATAAATTCACATCAGCAGGGAGTCAAAAGCTCCTGAACATGTGTAAAAAGTCAAAACTGAACAGCCAAAAATGTTAACGACACCTGGGAGAAGGGGAGAGGCAGGACACATGGTCAGGTGAGGAGACGTCTTGTGGCAACACACCTGAACCAGGAGAAAGGGCTACTGAGAGAGGCCAGGTGGCCCCGGACACAGCACAGCGTGTGGAGGGGACTCTCCACCCCAGCGCGGTCAGGGCCATGACAGCGACTTGCAGCCTGGCAGCAATGACATTATGTCCGTTTCTCCTTTATGTGGGTACAGTGACTCTCCTTTAAAATGCCAAAGTGGGGGTGGGGGGCGGCTGGGTGGCTCAGCTGCTTAAGCACCTGCCTTCGGCTCAGGTCATGATCGTGAGGTCCTGGGACTGAGCCCCACGTCAGGCTCCACGCTCAGCAGGGAGCCTGCTTCTCCGTCTCCCTCTGCAGCTCCCCCCAACTAGTGTGCTCCCTCCTTCTCTCTAATAAATCAAATCTTTAAAAAGAAAAAATAAAACTCCAAAGGGCGCACATGCTGTTAACTGAAGCCAGTTTTCTTTAGCACCCCAATCATTTACTTAGTATATATTAACTTTTACTTCTCTGGGCCTGTTTTCATGCCTGTAAAGTGATACACCAAGTAGATTTCCTCCAAGCTCTGAAGAAAGTGACGGGAAGGGAGGGGCTGCCTCGGTCTTTCTCCCCATGTCCCTCAGCACGTAGAGGGAGTGCTCACAATACATATTTGTGTGATAAATGAGTCATCTGATACTCGACAAACAGACCCCACTGTGCAAGGCAGCGGGCCCGGGGGGGCAGTTGTCGGTGGAGAGGAAGAAATCCTATAAGGAACATGGAAGGAAAAGGTTGATGCATTGTCCGTTAGGAAGCAGCCAGAACTGTCAGAGTGGGTCAGAGTGCCCGTTCTTCCTAGGTTGCCAATCCGTCAGAGCGACCTGGCCAGTCGTCACGTGTGTATCAGGTGATAGAAGCTGACTTCAGGAGAAAATAATCTACAGCATGAACTTTTCCATACCGGAGGACAGTTGCTAAGTTGAACAGTTGAACAGTTGCTAAGCAGTCTGCTACGGCTGGGCCACCACCTGAAAACTGTCGTAGAGGAAGACACTGTTCCAATGAGTTCAATATGAGAAACACCATTCCAGAACTCCTACCTTTAGAAATCATCCAAGGAGTGAGATGAGCATCACAACCCCCATGAACTGAGTAAACAACACCAGCGGGGTGAGGAAGGACCACACGTGCCACAGAGCAACGTTGAAGCTGAAAAGGACAAAGCGCACACAGTTAGCAACTCCGGCTGCAGTCTACACACACAGCCCACGGTGGAATCTAGATTTAGAGAACCCACTGTTCCTCAGTCTGGGAAAGTTTACCTAGCCAGCAACTTTATATGCATGTCATGTTTCTCCACCATGTGATTTAGCCCATAGTGGAAGTATCACAAACTCTTCCAAAAGCATTTGGAACTGGAACCGCTAAAGGTCCTCCCATGAGAGCTGCCCAAGAGGAACCTGAGGGTTGAAAAGTCAGTGTCTGTGATGGAATAGGAATGACAATGGCTACTGCCTTTTATGATCCACATGCCATCAAATGATCACGGTCAAAACAGTTTCAAATATTTTCTTAGGAACAAAAAGAAAAAATAATCACTTAAAAGTTGCTATTAAATTTCCTATTGAGGGGCGCCTAGGTGGCTCAGTGAAGCATCTGCCTTCGGCTCAGGTCATGATCCCAGGGTCCTGGGATCAAGCCCCGTATCAGGCTCCCTGCTTAGTGGGGAGCCCGCTTCTCCCTCTTCCCGCCCCCCTCCCCAGCTTGTGCTCTCTCTTGCTATCTCTTTCTCTCACATAAATGAATAAAATCTTTGGAAAAAAGAGGAGCGCCTGGGTGGCTCAGTCATTAAGCGTCTGCCTTCGGCTCAGGTCATGATCCCAGAGTCCTGGGATCAAGCCCCACATCAGGGTCCCGGATCGGCAGGAGGCCTGCTTCTCCCTCTCCCACTCCCCCTTCTTGTGTTCCTTCTCTCGCTGTGTCTCCCTCTGTCAAATAAATAAATAAAACCTTTAAAAAAAAAAAAAAGGAAAGAGTAAAAAAAATTTCCTATTGAGAAAAACACTATTCCTGTCACCAAGGTAAGAATAAGACAGCTTCTAAGTGCAAGTGATTTTTATGGACTGAGTTTGTAGAAGCAGAAGTTACTCAGCGAAAACTGTAGTCAATTAAGATTTTAATGTGTAACACTTTGATAAAGAGAATTTCAAACAGCTACAATCCCACTGTTCTAAAAACTAACATTTCTGGGGTGATCTTACTTATATAAAGAGCACACCTGTCCACCCACATCACTGAAGGGTTAGTAATGTCCACATTACAAGGTTAATAGGTGTCAATACCCTTAAACTTCAAATACAGAAAATTCATCATAAAAAACATGCATTTAAACTGAACATGTACAAAAGTATATGGTTTTTCCAAAATCAAAATTCAGTTATTACAGAAAAAGGAAAAAAGCTACAGGAATACACACAACAATAAGAGTAGTTTTTCTCTCTGCCTAGCAGGGTCATGGTGATTTGTTTCCTTTGTGTTTTTCTGTAATAGGTTTTTCTTCAGTGAGCAAGTATACTTTTATACACATTAAAAAAAATCAATGTTTTTCACTGAATAACTATTTTTTTTAAAGATTTTATTTATTTATTCATGAGAGACAGAGAGAGAGAGAGAGAGAGAACCAGAGGGAGAAGCAGGCTTCCCGCTGAGCCGGGAGCCCGA